CAGTGTAACTGTAGTTCGACGACTCGATCCTAAGTTCAACGTTACTAGTAATCAACAATTTATTAGTGTCATGGATGGGCCTGTTCAGCCCCTTCATCAGCCCCTCCTCGGTCCTTTGTTTCCTCACCCCTTGATTCCTTATCAAAGTCTCCTCGCCGCTCAACGCATTCGGCCAACTCAGGGCCAGCATTTGGCGCAACTAACAGTTCGCGAGCAGATGTTTCGTTATATGGTACTTCTTATCAGCATTCTTGTTGCTGCCACCGCACAGGTGGTTCTACAGGCCACACAAATTCCCCAAGCCCCTGAGCCATATCACACATCTGCACTATCAGGCCATGAATGGGTCATAGAACTTATTGTTGGTCATCCTGAACGCATCCACTGCGAGCTCGGGATGCATGTTCACTGTGTTTGAGGCTCTGATCAATGAGCTCCAGTTCCCTTGGTCACACAGATTCACGATATGTCTCGCTTGAAGAGCAGCTCGCCATATTCTTCTACTCCTGTGTTACAGGATTAACAATTCGCCATGTCGGCGAACACTTCCAGCGCTCGAACGACACTATTTCTCGGTATGGTTAGTTTATATTAGGAAAAACTATTAGTTCTGATGCCTTTTGTAGGTATTTTCGCAAGATGCTCGACATATTCGCATCTCATCCATTTTATAATAAATACATATGCTTTCCTGCTGACAATGACCCCGTCCCCGCCAAAATACACAACAATCCGAAACACTGGCCATATTTTAAGGATGCTATAGGAGCACTCGACGGTAGCCATATTCACGCATTCCCTCCTTCAGCTGAGCGCCACGTCTATTGCAACCACAAAGGATTTCTCTCCCAGAATTGCCTTTTTGCATGCGACTTTGACCTTATGTTCACGTATGCATTGACTGGGTGGGAAGGCTCTGCAACCAATGCGCGGCTTTGGGATCAAGCGCTTGAAGGTGGCTTGAAAATCCCCCCCCCCCCCGGTAAATACCTTCTTGCGGATGCAGGATTTCCGTCCTGTGAAGAGCTTTTGATTCCTTATCGTGGTGTTCGATACCACCTCGCTGAATAGGGGTCGCGTCAGTGTGAGGTAGTTGTTTCACTCGTGTTTTTTTTATTTCAATCAAACCAATATTATATTTTCAGACCTGTCAATAAAGAAGAACTCTTCAATCTTCGTCACAGCCTCAGCACGAAATGTCATTGAACGAATCTTCGGTGTCTTAAAACGACGCTTTCGCATTCTCCTCTTATCCCCGGAATACAGGATCAACACTCAAGCTCGGATTCCTGCGGCGCTATGCGCCCTACATAATTTTATACAGGTTCATGACCCATTCGAAGATCCATTACCATCAATGAGTGTTCGTGAACGACAATCCAAGCCATCAAGGAGATCCTCTAGCAGCTGAGAATGGACCGCATGCACAAGCTGCTAATGCACGCCTGTGATCGCATCGCGACACACATGTGGGAGGATTATGAGGCTTACTTACGCGAGCATGACTTAGAGGACGATGAAGATCTAGGTTCTGATCTTGACGAGGAAGATGAAGCCGAAGATGACCTTTATGATGGGCACGAGTTTGATGAGACTGCTGTAGAATAGAATTGTTTTGTAGCTACAATTGAAAGTTTTATGCAAGGATCAAACGAGCACATGAAGCTACTTGTATAACACAAAGAAGGGCTAGGGCTACAACTAGTAAGCCTACAAACAAAAAAGAGCGGGAAAAGTAGGAGCTACATGGTAGGGTTCTCTTGTTTGGCACTGGGCGATCATAGATTCTAAAAATGCTTCGCTGCAGCTCAGGGTCATCAACATCTAAGAACGTATCACATGCTGCTGCGTTCGTCATGAACACATGCATGAGAATCACCTTATCGTCCTTCGAGATCCCTGTAGCCGACTGCATTAACTTCAGTGCAGCGTGACCTATGTTCAGCTACACGAGCCTCATCAGTGCCGAAGTTCGTGTTCAATGAATCTGACAGGCGGTTGATAGTGCCTTGAAGATTCATCAACACAGCTGTGTTGGCAGTGTCTTGAATGTTCTTCTTGCTTGTGCTTGGGCGCGTCTTACCACTGGCTGTTGACAGCCTTGGTTTCTTCTCCGATTCCAGGCTTTGTCACCTGCGACACTGAAGTGTAGGTGGTGGAGGGAGGAGCCGAATGACCTTGGGTCATCTCGGAGTGTGAACGCTTGCCAGTGCTGGAGCCTGATGACATAGGGACGGACGTGGGGGGGGCAACACTGATACTGCCACCCGCAAATATAGGACCAGGGGGGGGAGCACCCCAGCCGAGGTTCGGCTGGGCCATGCTGGGCTTCATGGGAGTGAGATCAGGAATGAAAGGAGGCCGCTGGGCCACGCTGGTGTCGATGGGAAAGAGGTTCGGAATAAAAGGAGGCGGCCCCATGCTTTCAACATCCATCATGCTCATGTCAGCATCATGAGGTGCGCTGCTTGTGCTTGCAACCGGTTGCTCCACGGCCGGTGCAGCTGATTGGGCAGGGTTGTATGCAGCCGTTCCTTGTGCAGCGCTCTTCTCGGGGAGGATTTGGTCCATCTTTGAATAGAAAGGCCAACCATTATTTTTGAATGGTTTCATGGGCGAGTTGGACTGTAAAGCGTCAGTTTCAGTGAAGATCAAGGTGATATTGGCACATACCTTCTTACCAACATATTCCTTCCACACAGCTTCAGCAGCGGGCCCATCGATGTTGGCCCCATGCTCATCATCCCAATGACAGCCTGACTTAGAGCGATACGTCCGGATGGCTTGGAAAGTAGTCTTTAACTACATAGATGTAATCAGTACAATGATGGCGGCAATCAATATGAAATAACATACCGTCCCCCATTTACTCTTGCACTGCTCCCCAGTTTTGGGAGGCCCATGTGTCTGCTTGCTTGCGATCTCTATCGCAGCTTGATTGTATATTGTGTCTTTGAATGTTGCCCCTGCCAGTGATGACTTCTCCGTGATAAGATATGTGAGCATGGCATCAATCTCATCAAAACCCCACTGGGCCTTTGGCTGTTTAGGAGCCTTTCGCGTCATATTAGCTAGTTGTATCTGAGAGCAGATGATTATAGCAGCGACGGCAAGCCAAACGTGCTGGCGTTGGAGATCATCAGGACGAGACTTTGATGAAGTCATGGTCGGAAGCAAAGCAAATTGAATCTCAGCTTGCGGCTGGTATCATGCCGGGACTTTCGAAATTTTGTATTTTGTAAATTTCGTTTATACAACGGTTACCGAACGAGGCCTAAGCCTTCGGATGTGTCCCTTCATTATGTAATCACGTCATCATGGTCGTTCTCCGATTCATTGTTCAAGCAGGACCCAGGAAAATCTACCAATTTTCACCGCTGAGTGCCGTCCTCGGGTGAAGTCAAGGCATCACGATTCATTTGTTATGCGCAAGCCAAGCTGGACATGATATGGATTATAAATAGCTATGGATGATAACACGAAATAAGGATGTAGTCATTACTTATCAATAAATAAGTACTGCTTCCAGTGCACATGACGAGCGACAATAGAACTGAATTCCCCGGACATTCACTAATTCCTCTAGCAGCAGCAACGCGACCAGCCGCCTCCATTTTCTCCGGGGTCTACCTGAACTGCCAGTGGTTGCTGTTGCTGTTGTAAATTAGGGTCCGGAGAAGGAGGTCCATGATAGTCTTCATCACGTATCAAGGAGTGGCTACTCCCAGGAGCACCTGCTGCAGCATTACGCTGTATGTTTACATATCAGACACACAAGACACAATTATAAAAATCAACCGGGCGCACCTGTCGACCTTGCGCAAAAGGAACACCGACAACAGGGGGCGCTGCATGATGGAGCGGCCAGGTGAATAGGTGTCGTAGGTAAGTTTTGAAGGTGGTAGCGGCGACGACTGGCGACGGGGTGGTGGGTGGTACAGGTGGAGGAGCTGAACGAGGGGTTCTCGTCATAGCGAGCATGAGTCTTTTGAGGCGCCCAGGGCGCTGTTGAGGTCGTGACCGGGAAATTTGAGAATGCTGTAATGATCGATTTGAGAGAGAAAAGAAGGGTCCGCTGTTGCACGCACCTGATGCATTCCGTAGAAGAAATTAGGTTCTGTATCATAGCCATCCTGACCTTGCCCGGGGATCTCCACCTGCATACAGGTCAGTAGAGAAAGGAATGAGAAAAGGAGTACATACGCCAAGAATACGGCCATCGTGCGCAGCGAGCGTGTTACATTGTTCCTTGAATTCTGAGTGAAATGCGGGTGAGTACGATAGCCTCGGTGATGTCAACGAAAACTTGCCGTTGGACCAATCGAGGCAGCTTGCCTTTGCAGATTCGTCGATGGCATCCATCATGTATTGGTGTGCTCCAAGAGCTTCATCGGGTTTACCTACTGAGAGCAATGCCTGACACCGTTTCTGGTGTGCATTGAGACACAAGGACTCGAGGTCCCAGCCGAAGAGCTGGACAAAGCACTCAGTTATGAAAGGTATTATGTATACATCATCTTGACACACCACGGTCAAGTCCTCGAATATTTCGTGAATGTTTTTCGATGAGAAAGCGCTGGAGTTGACAGCAGTAGTGAAGTGATCAGCGGCTTCGTCATAACGTGCACCATCCAAGGCTGTGGTTCCGAGCTGAACGCGTAGATATGTCTAATGTGCAGGTTGCAAAGATCAGTTTTGGTGACCGAGCGTGGCCGCATGATACTTCTTACTTCCACGACACAACACCCGAGAGGATCGGCATTCGGACAAGCGGCAGCGAGTTCTTCGACGAGCAGCATTGCTTCCTCGTGTTGATCTGTGTTGAAGAGGGCGATGGCCTGAAATACGCAATGAAGTAGAGAATATGCGAGTCAGTTTGAAGCTACCTTTATCAAGAGAAGAAAATGGTTGGCTTTTGAATCTTGGTTCGTGAACATGGATGCAACGTCGAATGCTATCCTTGCCTCCCGGACGCGGCCTTTTCCACAGAGGGCGATGCCTTTAGAGATGCAGCCTGTCAATGAGGGCTGAATTTTAATGGACTGTATCACGGATGAAAGTTTTCCTTTTGTAAGAGGACCATGATGGATCAGTATAACTCACCTCGATTGCATCATCAAGGGCGTGGTCCCAGTCATGTTTTCGGGCCATAACAAATGAGCGATTGGCATAGGAAGTATAAGGGTTGGCATCGGTATCGATCTCTTGGGTGAGTAACTCTTCAGCGGTGTCCAGGTCCCCAGCTATACATGCATTGCGGGCTGTCGTGATAGCCAAGATCTGCACGAAGGATGCTCGAATTGCGTTATGAGAGTCAAGGATGGAAACTCGCCTTCGAATTAATGTCACTGGGTACTTGATGCTCCAAGATCTTTTTATCTAGGCCTCCGCTGAGGATGTGCTTGCCGTCCACAGAGAACGTGACGCATGCCATCAGGCTGGATGAGTGCCGGAAGATGGCGATGGTCCGTCGATCTGAGAGTCGCCAGAGACGGACATTTTTGTCTTCAGATGCGGAAGCGGCGAGGGTGCCAGCAGGATGAATGGCAATGGCGTAGATACTGCCAGTATGGCCTTCCCAGGGATAACCAACCTCCTCCCAGGTCAATGGATCCCACTCCCGTATGGTAGGATCATCTTTATTGCCTGCTGAAAGAAGACGTGTACCATCGGGCGTCCACGCGAGTGACGAGTTGTATTTTATATGAGCCTTGAAATATGCGACGCGTTCCCTTGTGCCCGGATTATAAATTTCGATATTATTGTCCGTCGCAATGGCAAGAAGTTCACCAGACGGCGAATACCGAACGCAGTTGATCTTAGTATTATTACCACAGTCGATTGGTTTTCCTTGCATCTGCCACGTTTTGGTACACCAAAACTTAGTGGTATAGTCCCATGATCCAGTGGCCAGCACCGTACCATCCGGAGAAAAATCCAGTGAGGTAATTTGAGAGGTGTGGGCTTTGATGGGTTGGGTGAAAGATTCGCCAGTTTGACCGTGCCAGGCGATGACCTCTCCGCCGCTATCACCGCTTGCTATTATTTGACCATCTCGTGATACCGCCAATGCCCACACCTGATTGCTATGCCCCTCCATCTTCTTCAACACAACACCTGTCTTCAAGTCCCAAAGACGAAGTGTCTTGTCGTTCGAGGCTGTAACTATTCGTCGCTTATTGGGGATTACTGCGACTGCCTTTACGATCCCCTCATGATCATCAAAAGTTCGAATGGGTATGGTGCTTGGAATGAGCTGTGACATTATACTGGAGGTTGATGATGTTGAGCACGGTAGAGGGATTGTGGGTGTCTTTATATAAGCTGCAGAGGTGCGTGTATTGTGCGTTTTCAAGCCGCTTCACCACGCTAACCTACCTCGTTTCCATAGATGCCCAAGACACGAGGTAATTTACCATCACCGTTCTAGCAGGAATACTTCTTACGAGTCATAACCGCCTTGCTCGACTGCACTATGTACATGCGTCCGATCCCATCTCCACAGCTTCCAGAACATTTCCCCTCCTGTCCAATGGCGGTAGTGCAGTTGCTACTTCCCGGTCCTGGAATTTGGCTGATAGCTCTATCCATCCTAGATTGCCGCATGAATATCATCGTTTCTCGTGTCGAGCAGTTTCTCAACACTTCATGTAACTTATCCGTGTGCATATAGCTTACTGCAATATCATCTCCCCATCTCGTCGATTCCCAAGATCTGCCTCTGCATCAGAAGATGTGACCAAATTTCTCTATCGCGTCTCAAATCCGTTCCTAATGAAAAAATTTCCCTCTTTCAATACGCATTTTATCCAAACCATAATTTCAAAGGTGTCAGCCTTCCAGCGCTTTGCTCCTCGCTCATCTCAATTCCTCAGGCAACTCCTGGCCCATTTGGTTTCAGTTTGTCCCGTTCGTCAATTACCTTCCTATGTCCATTCTTGTTGCAATCCTGCACCTGCAACATGGTCATGACACTCTACTAACATCAGTGAGCTCTCAAGCTGTGCGAATCTGCATCCCCGACTCCACGAAGTGGGGAAGGTTCTGTAACCTCTAAACGTCCAGGTACCTGTATTTTCATGTGCGCGTGAATTGTTTAAAGTTCAGGCCTAGACTACCCAAGGTTCAAGCGAGGCCGCATCTGCTACCTCATTGTAAGTTTTTCCTCTCCCCACATTGCGCTTTGCGTTGGTATGTCCCTTTGCCATTTTGCCAGTCTTGCTACAATGCATGGCTTTTGCTGCGCTGAACATCTACTTCGGGCGCTCTTTTGCGGTCCACAAGGTCCCGCACGCTGTCTTGATTTCATGTTGGTCCAATTCCATCGTTCGAAACTTCTGCCAAGGGTCTCATTCCAATCTAAACGTTAGGTGTTTCACCGATTCGCATTCCTTGCACGTGTCTGGCTGTTTCAGCACCCGGCGTTGTACGTCTTCACTTTCTGTGCATGGTTACAGCGCACCCTTGCATTTCACGGCTTGAGCTGCCAAGGGTGCCTCCCTCCTGCCGATGCTATCTCTGTCGAGGGTGCTGCATCTGATGTTCTGGTATGCCTGGACAGGATAACATTTTATTTTCATGCGCTCAGATGGCGCCACATGTACACGCGTACGCATAGTTGTGGCCTGTCACATCGGCTAGTCCGATATAATGTATCCTGGTCTCAGACTTCAATGCGTTGCATCAATCTGTGATAGGCGCTGTGAAGCCCTTTGTCAAGGAATTCAAGATGTCGGCATGAACAACGGAAATCACCTTGCGCCACATTAAGTCGTGTAGTGCTGCCTGCTGTCGACAAGCATCCCAAGCTTCGTAATGAAGGTTTGATAACTCGGTCTTGATCATTCGAAAGAAACACCTGCGCTCACCTCGCTTGAGAGTCCAAAGTTGGATAACAGAAGAAGAAACCCCTATACAGTAAAAGATGGCATCTGAACAATGCCACTGAGTCTGGACAACTGCGGGCACCAACTTCTGATAATATACATGTATCATTTCTGGGTGTATGTAACTTAGCTAAGACTGTCGTCCCTTAACTGTTACGCCAAAAGGCAGTGATACTGAACGCTCGTGTACAGTGTAATCCAAAGACAATCGGTACATTCAATGGCCGTACACGTGCTCAAACACAACCTGATTGAGTAGCAAGTTACACCATTCATCATAGTTCCTTGAAGGCACATATACATACCTCGGGAGGGCAGCCTGGTCCCAGTCTGCCGTCTGGGTGTCCGCAAGTGTTTTGGAAGAGTCTCTTTGAGTGCACACCAAGTGAAGAGAGGGGGCAGCCACGCCCAGGACAATATCTCTATTGTTGTCAAGAATTGAAGCCACCACACTCCAGAAGCGTAACACGCGATCATAAGAGCTATGGGATGCTATTAGATCGATCTCGGCATCAATATAGAACCACTCACATGACATCAAAAAGAAGATAGAAATTGTGAGGGATATAGTCGGCCAGCTGATGAACAGAAGTGTACAGCACAGTCGAAAGCGTGTGGCCGTCAGGACCTGCAATTTTGTGAATACGTATAAGTGCAGTCAGGTCTGCTACAAACATCTTTAGCCCAGATTCGATCACTGGTTTGGCATATGTTGACCACAGCTAAACCAGAAAGCAAGCCTCCGAGGGCATGTGCGAAAGATCCTAGGGCTAAGATATAGCAACCGCGCATAGTGTATGGAAGAAATGATGTCAGGGGCGGTTGTGTTGAAAGAAAGACTGCCGAAGTAGTGAGCACCTGCAATCCAGTGTTAGATTTTTTCTTTGGCCCAAGAAGTGCTGCATACCAAGCCCGCCTGGAATGTCATGGATCAGTACATGGTTAGGTCATACCGATATTTCCTACCGCTATGTTAGTATTACTCAGTCTTTTAACAAAAGTCTCCCTATATTTCTCGTATTCATCATCGTCGATGTGAGTCTTCCAGTAATGTTCGATAGACAATCTTCCCATTGAGATTAGACAGAGTGAACGGAATAATGTGGACATTATAGGATGTTCATTGAAGTCTGGAACCTTCCAATGGACTGGTACCGACTCAGGTGGCCTACAAAACTTGATCAATCAATGGTCCGGGAGCAGTCGGGTTACTTGCTGATAGGTTAAGTTGTACTCCATCGACTCAATGGGTAAGAGCAGTCCTGAAGTTGAGGTTTCGTCCTCTTCCGCGAAACTTGGCGGTCTTATATAGTTCGCTGTAAATGATGTAAGTAAGCACGCCGTGCTGGTGCTAGCCAAGCTGGGATGGATGGTAGCATACACGACCATTGCCAGGTGAGGGTGGCGATCTGCATGGACCTCATCCTAGCACGCTATCAATTCGCTTGAGAAACATGCGTATCCGAGTCATTCACGAACTTCGTAAACCATAAATTCTTGATAACCCTGAGATATTCATAGACGAGCGTTAGAAAGTCCTCAGGAGAACATCCAACTTGCATAATCTTGACGTTATGTTAGTGGAACGTTGAATCCGCATGACGTGCTTTGGCAGGAGAGTGCCAGAGTCAGGGAAATGACAATTGAATTGGAAAACAAGCGCCTCTGGACGACATGAGAATACACGGATTATATGTTACTGCTTGCACGTGATGGCTGAAGCGAACATGTTGAAGTAGGGTCTGGGTCTTTTCAATGTTATGAATGCCGCGTGATGTCTGGACTTTGAACCGGTTGAGGTCTTCGCCACTGATGCAATTGATGTGTTCAGGGACTTGTGTTTCCCACCCTATTGGGAGCCGATCTACTTCGGAATGACATTGACTACCAACTCTTCAAACCTTGAGCACACAAAGTCCGGATACCCTCACGTCATTCACAATGAAAAGACCCCAGACTCTGCCCAACATCTTCGCTTCAAGTTAATGTTGCAGCCGTATCAGTCGCATCACCGAGCAGTATAATCCTAGGCCTCAGCGTCAACTTTGTATCCCCCTGCCCGCACGCCGACTCCCGCCCACCACCGCCCCCCACCACCATCTGTTCTTCGTTAACATATCTCCTTCGTTACTTGACGCGGTGCTTCCTATTGCTGACCTGGCAGTTAAACTTCGTTAGTATATTGTGTTATCTGTATCTTAGCATATCATAGTACATCAATGAATACAATTGTATGATGGATAATCTTATACAAGGGCGCATGTCCAACTACCGTAGCATAAAGTGCGCCTTGAGTCCAATGGGAGAATTTTACTTGCGAATTAGCAGAAGGGGAGGGGTACTCGAGACAAGCAAAAAGATGGGTAATGAAGAGCACACAGCCGCGTCGCAAGGCCGTAAAATGTATCAGTGTCTTGCCGTAGGTGTAGACTGAGTACTGAGGTTTGGGTGGCGCCTAGGCTATCATCATCCACACAGTGCAGCATCGAGAGTGTTGAACCGTGAGATGGGAACATCGGCGAGGTGGAGTGGAACGAATGAGTCATCAAACTCGCTAGTCACGAGTGCAGTGATATGATTGTGTATAGTATGCCGCGGCCATAAACACGGCTCCGGTACTTCTCTAATATCTGGTTGAAGGGCATTAACAAGTGTGCAGGATGGCACTGGTGTGAATGGTACAGTTATTCAGGGCGCTGGTTGCTGCAGTGCATCACGATGTGTGGTGTAATGTTGGGAATTGCGGTGCTGGTGTTAGTTTTGTGCCGCTGAATTTTGCACGACATGGCGGCGCTGCGATAAGGCTAAATCACCGTTAAAATCTGAATGGCGTGAGTGAAGATGCATACCTTGACGAGTGATACTTCTCGATGCACAGTAAGTATGAGTGGAATCACGATCACAAGTCCCAACGCCCAGTGACGCGCGAATATCCTATTCGTCGTCGTCGAGTCACAGGTAATAGTATTCCCTGTCAGTATTTGAAATCTGTTAACACAAATGCTACCATAGCTGCGCATGTGTGTCAACAACTCCGCCGCGCATCTGACTGGCAAGTTTGTCTAGGACAGAGCAGGAGATGCTGCACTCACTCGCAGAAGGCAGAGGTATCACCCAGTATGATGGTATTGGGTTGCTGGAGTCATAGAGTCTGGGGTCTTTTCATTGTGAATGACGTGAGGGTGTCCAGACTTTTTTCGCTCAGGGTTTGAAGCTGTTTGAAGCTGTTCGAAGGAACCGAGAAAGGTCCGAATGATAACAACGCAACTTGATTAGAGCGTATTTGCAGCGCCCAAAATCAAAATGTCTTAGCCCAACGGACTTTGCCGGAGCTATCTCGGCATGTTGCAATAAGTACGTGCTGTTACATGTTCTGTGAAATACATAGTGAGAATCCAATCGTACTGTCGACGAAATTCAATGGACAAGCTTCTCCCTTTACTACTTGAACCTCCTCGACCACCCCTAGTCCTACAGCCTGTAACGCTAGCAGCAGCATCCAGTGCTGTTGTTGATGCTGATAGAGTCTATGCTTAACAGTTTACCTTGTGTCAAACGTACGTCAACATACGGCATATGCAAGTACTAGTAGATTCCGACGCCAAGTTACAGGCTCCACACTTGCATGTAAACTTGCCGTCGCAAATACGCTCTATTGTATATAATATATATTTGTGCCCGCTCTTGAATATTAATGTGTTTGCTGCGTGACCTGTCACACTCTATTGTGTCTCACGGAACAGTAGTACAGGGATCGTTTTCAGTAGCAGAAGACAGCTCGACTTGCTGGGTGCGGTCAGCGAAATGTCTATTATAACTCCACCGAGATTTCGGACAGACAAGAAATCCATTTACTTGCTGTCGTGGCAGGCTTCGTATTCTCAACTAGTAACAGGACCTCTCATTTATCACATCCATTCTTGATGCCAACTCATCCCTGTTCCTCGATGAAATTCAAGAGCAGTTACTTTAGCATGGAATGTTGAAGTTTCGACTGTCGCATAGTCTTCGATCGGTTCATCGACATTTTCTGGCCTCCCGAAGCCAGCCCAAGGCTCACCCAACTTCTCCCTATCATTCATAGCTAGAATGCACCCAATAGAACATCCTGGCCGCTATATGTACTACTGGCAATGCATCAGAGAAAGTGCATACTAGTCACTATAATACTTGGTACCTCATTTACAAGCAGAGAGACCTGGTTCACCTCAGCCTCAGCCAGCAAGCAACAACCTTACATTGACAATCATAAGTCTATTGGTATTTTCACTCTTTCTGTAACTGAGCTAATGGTCGTACCTTGCTGCAGGAGCCAGTGTGACGACAGGTCACACACCATCACCAGAAAGTTGTCCTTTTCGTGGCCAAGAGGTTTTCGTCACCGGTGTTCCTGCTACTCGGGTAAGTTGGGCAATTTTGCGAGGTTTTCGAGGTCTTGTGAGTTGTCGTTACGTTCTTAATTAGGGGGCACTCATTGTTCAGTGTGAAATTGTTCGAAGGAACCGAGTAAGTTCCGACTGATAATAGGGCAGCATGAACTCGCATCCTGTACCGCCGTTTATATATCCAGCAAACTTGAACCAGCTTGCACAAGCTTGTACCCGCAATACGCCATGGGCCTCCTGTACCTCGGAACACCCTTAACATGGGATGAAGCAATGCAGTATGCAGACCATGTTCGAGAACATGGTATCACGCAGTTCCTCCATACTTGGGATCGAGTTAAGGACAGATGGGGCGATCAGTTACTGTGGGGAGACGAGGTAAGTATTGCCAGTCCCAGTTTTGCCTGCTTACATATATAATGAAAGGTGGAATACATGGTCGTTACCTTTGACGATGAGGAGAAGAATGCAAAACTTTCTCTCCGCCAGACCGAGATCCTCGTAAAGCTTAATCAAGTCGTAGGCGACCTCACCGACGACGATACACCTGCGCAGTGAGTATTTGGATCCTCAGGGCAAGCGCCGTAATAGATTTGTCCCTCAGCGTGACGGTTCCGGCTTTCCACCCAGAGTATGGAAAATACATGCTGGAGTCGACTCCTGGCTCTCCATACACGAGCTCTATATCGAGCTTGTTATCCGTCGAGACAAATATGCATTATAGGTAATATCGTGTCTCAATGTCTGCGGGTCTTCTGCCTGGTATTGAACCTTGGCTTTAACAAGACGTACGCTCACAAGAAAGCACCTGAAGGCAAATGAAATCCCGTTTACCTTCACATCTTTCCCTCGCCTTGGAACGCGCGGCGTCTTCACTGAACCTCATCATTCGTCAGATGATGCCAAGTCTAGTTACAGCCTCTTTTTAGCTGAGGAGATTACGAGCCCTCACCCACGTTTTCCGTCAGTACCTGAACCCTTTTGGCTGTATATGGGCGCAGAACTTATCCAATTTGTTCAGTATCGTAGTAGCTAATACCCGCAGTAGACGGGGCTCCAAGATCGCAATCAACCTTCCCATATTCATTGACAAAAGAACACCTCGACCATTTGTCGACCCCACTATACCATTGCAATGTTACCCAGAAGATCCAGGTAGGTACCAGTGCAATCCTATCCCATTTACTAAAACGTATTTAATCTGTCGGCGAATAGAGGCGAAGAACGGTGTGGCATTGATCGATCATATTTACATGGACGCATCGGGCTTCGGGTTTGGATGTTGCTGTTTGCAGCTCACTTTCCAGAGTTGCAATGTAGGTGATGCAAGGCGCATGTATGACGCTCTTGTCCCCGTTGGGCCAATTATGGTGCGTAGGTGCTCTTCCGAGGCAACCATTTGGTGTACTAAGATGTTTTGCAGCTTGCCTTGACAGCAGCTAGTCCTGCATGGAGAGGTTACCTCGCTGATGTAGATTGCCGTTGGAATGTCATCGCCGGCAGCGCCGATGATCGCACACCAGAAGAACGCGGTTTGAATGTAAGTATCATTTCAGTTCCTTATCAGGGCTTCTGAAATGAGTATCCTAGCCCTCAAAAGACGACTACATAATTCCCAAGTCCCGCTATGACAGCGTTGACCTCTATATCTCGAATGATTGGATCAACAAACCCGAATACAACGATGTTCCTGCACCTTATGATAAAGGTATCTTTCAACGTCTTTGCAATCACGGTGAGTATGAGGCCTTTGTGACTTTGTAACGACTGACTCCCTTGGACTTAGGCATAGATGAGATGCTTGCCAAGCATATAGCACATTTATTCATTCGAGATCCTCTCGTTATTTTATCTGAAGCCATTAATCAAGATGACACTACTAGCAATCACCACTTCGAGGTGATATCACTCTTCGCCCTATTGTTTTTTTTGTTCTGAACGTCCTGGCAGAGTATTCAATCCACAAACTGGCAGACTGTTAGATTCAAACCGCCCCCACCAAATTCTCCCATCGGCTGGCGTGTAGAGTTTCGTCCTATGGAAGTGCAAATGACCGACTTTGAGAACGCTGCATTTGCTGTCTTCATTGTCCTCCTTTCCCGCGCCATCCTGGCATTCAACCTTAATTTCTATATTCCTATTTCCAAGGTTCAAACGGATATTTCTCGTCAATGTCATTTGACTGATATTGTAGTAGGTTGACCAGAACATGGCCCGTGCGCAGAGGAGAGATGCAGCTCGTTCCGGCAAGTTTTATTTTCGAAAGGACGTTCTTCCCCCAGGTCATATTACTCCTACCATTAGTTCATCTTCGTGCTGTGGATCATGTTCGCCTGCGAAAGTTGCTCCAGCGAAGGAGAAACTACTTCGCAATTGTTTTTTCCACTGTTCCTCGACCGTTGTATGTGAAAGATGGACCGATTGAAGATGAGTATGAGGAGATGACTATGGAAGAGATTTTCGTTGGAAAGGTGGTTATATATTCTTTTCCTACCCTCTTCAAATGTTGACAGTTGTCTCAGGGATCCAAGTTCCCTGGTCTGCTTGGCGTTGTCAAGGCTTACCTCGACATCTTAGACGTTGATGAAGAAGACAGGCTGCAAATAAGCAAATACCTCGACCTTGTCCGCAGACGCGCAATAGGCAGATTTCTTTTATTTTTATTTTAAGATGTGCGCTTAAATCGCTTTTAGGCTCTTTACAGACACCCGCGACTTGGATTCGTAATTTCGTGCGCTCTCACCCAAGCTACAATCACGACTCTGTTGTGAGCCAGGAAATAAATTACGACCTCATGGTCGCTGTGGACGAGATGTAAGTGATTTACATTATAGTATACATTGTAAGATTCTCAAATCTTTTATGATAGTGAACGTGGCGTGCGACGCGTCCCAGAGCTATTACCAGAGGATTACACGCCTACCAAGGGCTACCATTCCAAGCCCAACGGTCCTTGACATATGGCGATCTGCACTCTTTCTCTTGATATGTTGCTGAGAATTGTAGATCTAGAAATCGTGACTTGTGCACAAATCATATTACTGTCATTCCTGTACCTTAGAATGTTAGCTACTCTGTTACTACTCTTGCGCTATCTGTTATCTTGTCACTTGAACCACCTTTGACACCATACGATGGCCGCCCACTGGTAGACGCTTCTCGACTTCTCCACATGACGTCGATCCAGTCCTGCCTTACCTAATCGTTATGAGATACTTTTATGTAACGCATCAAATTCTCTTCGGAGTAAGGCTCGCCGTCGATGATCAGATTTTCATCCAACGAGTGAGAGACGAGAATTACAAGCCCCGCTAGAGAATACTAGCCGAGGAGAGAGCTGGGAGCCGATGTATTTCGGAGCAGTAATTAAGGGCAAGGTCCTACATCTGCAAAACCACTGAAATGAATGCTTAACTTATGTGCGTTATGGACACTTACGAATGCTTATGACTTCACTAGTGAACTCATGCGATTGGTGGAGATCTTGACGGGCTCATTGACTCACTTGGCTATAGCAAAATCATGAAATCAAGTCTTAGATTTAGTCTTAGATTATGTACCGCATCTTATCTTTGCAAGATAGTGAAATCAACACCTATTACTCCCACCTTTCTAATATAGTAAAGCGGTACCTACAGTGACTCAAAAAGGAAATGCACAGCATGACTAATTTGATGAATTGTTGTCTCCCTCCTCCTCCTGCACAGTTCACGTCATGATAGTAGGCTCTCGAGAAAGCTAGAAGTCTGTATGTACTAGTGTAGTAAAGGAAGTGTAGTGTAATGTATCATCTGAAATGTAGTAAAGCAATTGATGTGAAAACCTCTGTGCAATTCATTTTTGACAGTTGCAGCACTGCGAAAACATTGAGCATACAGAGATCAAATCAAAAGATAATGCAACAAACCTTTCTAATATTTGGTATGACCCCCTTTAGCATTGAGAAGAGCCTCAACACGACGTGGCATGCTTTCATACAAGTTCTTGATGTAGTCCGTCTCGATGTTACCCCATTCCTCCACTAAAGTGGCCCATAGCTCCGTGAGATTGCGTGGTAAAGGGGTCCGAGTGCGCACTTGACTGATCCAAATAGTCCCAAATGTTCTCGATGATGCTCATATCTGGGCTCTGTGCAGGCCAATCCAGCTTATCAATCTTCTTCTTCCAGAACCATTCTCCCGCCAATTTCGAAGTATGCTTCGGATCGTTGTCTTGCTGAAAATAGACGTTCTTTTTGTTGATGTCCAGGTCGCGGAAGGTCCCCAGCAAGTCATCATTGAGGATCTCGACATATAACTTGGCGTCCATGTTGCCCTCGATGCGGGTATGGCAATCTGCAGTTAGACACCCCCAAACCATGACATTTCCACCACCATGCTTCACAACCTTCTTTGTGTAGCGCTCATCAAACTCTTCCCCAGGCTTCCTCCAACACCATGAACGGCTGTCAGAGCCAAATAAATTGAATTTAGACTCATCTGAGAAGACAACTGACATCCAGTCTTCTGCTGACCAATCAGCATGAGCTTTCGCCCATGCTAACCACTTCTGTTTGTGAGCTTCTGTCAAAAAAGGCTTTGTACAGCGTACGTAGGCATTGAGGCCACATGCCCGAAGTCTCGTTCGGATGGTTTGAGCATTGATATCGGGGAAATACTTCTTTTGCAGGTCAGCAACATCATGTGCATGAGTGTGTGCCAGTGCCCGGACTGCGAAAGCGAGCATCGTTGGTCGTGAATTTGCGACGACGACCTGATTTAGGCTTGATATCATAGTAAGCTTCACTTTTAGCAAAGCGTTTCACGATGCAGGTAATTGTAGTGCAGTGGAGTTGAAACTTTTCAGCGAGGTCTCCATCAGACATGCCAGCAGCTTTGTCTCGGCAGATTTGAGCTTTCTTTGTAGGAGTTGTGTATTTTGTCATGGATGACTAGTGACAGCAAGGGTGTAGAATGAGTCCGCAAGTGGTGCAAGTGTGACGTTGTGCGGCAACGAGCCGACAAACACATTTTCTGTAAAGTCACACTAAACCTAAAAATGAAATGCACAGCATTCTCTTCACAAATATCTGGACAGCTCTCTCAGAAAGCCAAGTATCACAATAAAAGCATATGGTATTGAAAATATAGACCTAGTACACTACACTGCAACAAGTGAAATGACACAAAATGGTCTATTGCTCGAGTGCGAGGAGGAATAGGAGAAATGTTGATGCTGTGCATTTCCTTTTTGAGTCACTGTAAGACGTCTACTCACCCTCATATTAACCTAAAAACCGTTATTTGTGAGGACCAGCGGTCCAGACCAGCAAATCAAGGTGACTTAGAACATTTAGTATTGTTACCCTTGGGTAGCACGCGGGAAAGCTGACATAAGCATCGTATTCGGTAATAGCGCGTTGCCGCTGTTGCCTTCAACCTTGCGCTCATCGTCACACACGACGAGCTCAACAATTCCCTTAATTCTGCTCAATTTAGGGTGCATTTTTTATATAACCATTCTACTCTTCAATATGATACATTCTAACACTGTATAGGTATACTAGTGTGTGCTGGCGTCATCAATATCCTCCCACCCATTCTCCTCATCCGAGTCTACCACAGAAGAACTATTTGCACCTCTCTTCAACTTCCTCGACTTCCTCAATGCTACATAGAGCGCCGCCTTTTCTGTTAGTTTCCTCTTCCGCTTTGATGGCACTCTATCGGCAATCTGTGGGGCACCTCGCTTGTGGTTTGTCAATCCTGGAAGGACTTCAGCGGGTGAAGATGTCATGTTTGATGCTGAGGGAGTTGGTAAGAATGGATTGCCGGTTGGTAGCTGAGTATTGGGTAGACGAGGCTCTGTGTTTGTCAATCCTGCAAGGACTTCAGCAGGTGAAGATGTCGTGTTTGATGCTGAGGGAGTTGGTAAGAATGGATTGTTGGTTGGTAGCTGAGTATTGGGTAGACTAAGGCTCTGTGTGTGTCCTGCTAGGTGTTGAATTCTCCGTAGTGAGTGGAGGAGAGGGTGCGGAGACATTTGGGATAGAAGGGGGGGCTGAAAAATAGCAGAAAATCAGTAGTAATAATGTACACCAATGGAATGTCTACCTCAAAGGGCAGGATCAATGAGATCATCAATGATCTCACTAACACAAGGGGCTGGACCTGAGACGTTGTCATGAATGGGTGTTGTAGGGTCTCTAGATGGCATGATGCATTGTGCTGATGTAGGAGACGATGATGCGGTGATTAGGCATTAGCACAGGTACGGGTAACCCGCGGCGGGCCACGGGTACGGGTACTGGCGGGTACGGGTGCAGGTTGGGATTTTGAGACCCGTGACCCATGTACCCGTCACTTCCATATATGGTCGTCTGCTGTGGCCTGCAGTTCAGTCCTCGTCATTAAATAACCTTGCAGCTCAACTCTCCACCTGCTTTCACCATTGAGGCAACAATGAAGAGGAGCAGCGACATTCTGATGAAAATGATGCCGCAGTTCTTTGCCCCGTGACTACTGTGAGTGATCAATGCAATCTAGCATTCTGATCCTGAGAGCTTGTAACATGTAGCTTACATCACGCGATATGGATGCGTTAGTACTAAAGACAGATGCCGGACATCGTCTTCTTGTGTGATACCGCAGGACGCGGAACAGTAAGGATATTGACCAATCCATAAACCACTTTGAACGCACCTTGGATCTCTGCCCCATGGACCATCCCTACCGCCCTGCAGCACTGCTCAATCTAGCTACCGCAAAGTTTTTCAGTTGCCAAGCTGGTGGAAGACACCTCGACCTCGACATCCCTATCCATCTGTTTCAAGATGCCCTTGATTTGCGTCCCACTGATCATCCGGACCAAACCATCACCCAGCTCCATCTTGCCATTGCTCTGCAATCTCGCTTCGTGAAACAGGGATTTCAAACGGATGCTGATGCAGCTAGAGAGTTACTGAGTAAAGTCCTTGATGTCTGCCACGCCAACAGTCACATCTACAGAGCAGCTTTGATTGCAATTGAAACAACCGCTCTGTATTCTGCTGAAAGCATTGATACAAATAATCTTGGGCAGGAGCGGCCCACCGCACCCATGTTTCCATTATCGTCGAATCAACTTGCTCATCGAGTAGAGCGGTGTTTGCAGAAAGATGATCCCCGTGCCTTAGATGAAGTGATATCCCTTCATTATGATGCACTGGGATACTACAACACTGGGTATGCTTCACGAGGGCAATTGCTGGGCAATCTGGGTGTAATGCTGCACACTCGCTTCGATCGTCGAGGCAATGAGGAGGGCTTGAACCAGGCTATAGCACTTCAGATGGAATGGCTGGCTTTGCACCCGGTCGGTCACAAAGATCGGTCCAAGTCATTAAATAATCTTGCCACTCTACTCTCCTCCCGCTTTAAGCACCGAGGCAATGACGAAGACTTGGATCAGGCTATTGCACTTCACAGGGAAGCGCTGGCTTTGCACCTGGTCAGTCACACAGATCGGTCCTCGTCATTAAATAACCTTGCTATTCGACTCTCCTCCCGCTTTGAGCATCGAGGCAATGACGAAGACTTGGATCAGGCTATCGCACTTCACAGGGAAGCGCTGGCCTTGCACCCAGTCGGTCACGCAGATCAGTCCATGTCATTAACTAACCTTGCGACTCAACTCTCCGCCCGCTTTCACCACCGAGGCAACAACGAAGAGGCTATTGCACTTCACATGGAAGCGCTGGCTTTGCGCCTGGTCGGTCATACAGATCGGCCGTCGTCACTCACGACTCGACTCTCCACCCGCTTTCACCACCGAGGCAACGACGAAGGCTTAGATATAGATACTATTATTAATATGTAGTTACTACTTGTTATCTAGCATAGTTTGAATTCATACCCGCGGGTTTACTGCCATACCCGCGCAACCCGTCGATACCCATTCGAAGACCTGTACCCGTTGGTACCCTTGGGTACACGGGTACGGGTATATGGCAGGTAGGGCTCTGGACACCTGCGGGTTTACCTGTGCTAATCCCTAGTGGTGATGGGGGCATTTCCCTCATATGCGTCGTCATCATCAACAGGGCTCTCTGGTTTTTGATCTATTTTGTTTGGGGTCAGGATCTCACCCGCCTCAATGCGTTTCATACACTCATCAGCTTGCTGCCTCGTAATTCAAACAAACCTGCACTTCTTATCTGAAACGGTGCATGCAAGAGCCTCTAGTGGTTCAACTCCACCTTTCAGATTACTGGGGTTACCCCATTCGTTGTGGCACCACCCAACCAGCTTGACTAGGTGCTCCTGAACCATGCGTTCATAGCGGACAAACTTTAGTGTTGCATTCGCGTTCTCGGTAACCTCGACTATTTAGATAGATTAGCAGACTATAAATCAAGACTATGAAATCAATACCTAGACTCTCATTTATACCGCTTCGTATCCCTTGCTTTGCAGCCAACTTGCGGTCTGTATAACTCATAGACAGAACTAAAATGAGAGGATCGGCAATAATAACATGCAGCAAACCAAAAAATCTTACTGCTTCGTGGTGCAAGCCCAGCGAGTACAGTGGACTCCATCTTAATACCCAGTTTCATTGGATCCTCCCGCAGAAGTGTACAAACAAAGTGAGGACACCACATCGCTTGTAAGGTGCACTTTTGGTAGCATGTTGAGGTTTGCTGAACTTTGTACAGTGACGAGTAATGTTTCTGTGCCCACACGTTCCTTCATCGCTTCAGCCTGTGCTGAGACAGCTCAGATTTCAAACCACAAACCAAGAACATTTAGGACTGACCTCACTAACCATGGCTGCAAAGCTACTATTTATTTCTGCGAGACAAGTACGAGAGGTTATGTTTACCGGCTTGCTGAGTCCTGACATTTTGATTTTTTCAAATTCCTCCACCATTTCTGCGCGCTGCTCAAGTGTAAGTTGGTGATATTCACCTGTCTCCTTAGCGATGGCACGAAGGTTGGCTTGTTGACCTATATCTTTATCTATTGGTAATGAATCAGTCGAGTCTATTATAGTGTCAGAGAACATACCAGCATTGAATTTTCCGCTTTTGAAATGCAGAAAGGCTGGACCATGCACTTGTCTTGTTGTGCCGCTTTCTCTGTAAGGCCGGGCCAATGTAAAACTTTTCCAGGTAACATCGACAGCTTCTGCCAAAACGACGAGCCAAATCTGTGGCCTGTTCATCAATATATGTAAGTATGTCGTCCACTGCAGCATCCTCATCTGCACGTTTTTTCACGCTGTTGGGCCGTCAAAGTTTGTCTTGCTTCTCGAGACAGCTTTGGACCCTTCCTGCGATGCATGGTTGCGACCTATGATGCGCCGCTTGCTACTCAGGAATACTGCTTGAACCATAGTAGGAGAGGAGGAAATCTCAGAAATGAACATTCATTCATGTTAGCAAGTATTACATTGTAAAAAATGAAGTGAAGTGATACTTCCCGATAGTGCCACCCAACATGGTTCCAGTCCTCCCACATTGCAGCCGATATTTGAAGAGCTTCAGCTCAGAGCTAATATTTCCCCTCTTGGCTAGCTCAGAAGCCCACCTATCAGGAACACATGCATTGAAACCTCACGGCAGGTATTGTGAAGGGTGTCACTGTAACCCAATTCCTCCAGTGTGGCGTGAGTGTTTTGGACCGAATGGCAGAAGAAGTTCCCCTGGAATTGCATACATAGACCCCGACCGATGATGATGAAGAGATAAGTGGCACTGAATGGTTTTGTTGAACAAGTTGGCGAGCTTACTGATGAAACACCTGAAGACATGGCCATAACCGAAGGGTGAAATGCCTGAAGACACATGTGACTGTGGTGACTTCGATGGTGTCCGAGCCACTTGAACTGTCCTGGATATTGAACGAGCTGGAGTAACAGTAGGCGTAGTTAGTAGATGTTGGATGAGCTGGAGTAACAGTAGGCCTAGTAGTGGACATTGAACGAGCTGGAGTAACAGTAGGCATAGTAGGAGGTTTCAAAAGGGGAATCAGGGTCAACCCCTCACACACATAGCCTCATAAGCCAATGGAGGAATCGGATAGCGATGCAAACTGTCCCCAAGCGTGAAGTGTTGGAGCCGGTCCATCCTACAAACCAACATTAGTCACACATAAACTTTAAGATGATCTCACTTACAAGATCAAGAGTGTGATCTCTTGATGGAGCGTGCCTAGCTAATGTTATCTGCTGATTTGTCCACTGAATTGTTGGAGTTAGAGAAGAGGTGAATAAGAATGGCACCATTGAGTCGGTTGTTCGTTGAGTGGAAATGACACGCTTGAGGCAACCAAAAGCCATCCAAGGATATC